CTACTGGAGCAGAAGGTGGAAAGCGACACATGATGATAATAATAACAACAATAACAACAATAACAATAGCAATGGGACCCGCAAATACAGAGGGGACATCACAACAACATGAAGGTCCAGAGTACACAGACTTATTCACATTCTGCTTCATATAGTCCCATCTTTCTTCATTTATACAACTTCTTTAACTGAAAAATACATATACAATTCTTTAGATCCTTGTGTTGAGAATTCCACAATTGTACACCAACTACCGAAATACACATTTGTTTAAGAGTAGTCCTTGCATATGGATGCTTAAAATGTAATTTCCTTCTGTGGTCTTCCTTGCCTGATCCAAAAACAAACAACTGTTGTAAACATGCTGGTAACATTTTGCTTTTTGCCCTGTGCATTACTGATAATGTCTGCAGCTCAGCTCTGTCTTTGAGTTTCAAGAGTCCTGACTTAAAAAAGTGGTGTGTTCTCTTGAGTCAGCTTTATGAATTATTCTTACTGCCCTTTTCTGTAATATTGACAATGGCTTTATGTTGCTCATATACGTGTTGCCCCACACTTCTATACAATAAATGAAAAATGGCAAAATGAGTGAACAGTACAACATCCTCAATGCCTTGTAATCTAGCAAATACTTTGCCTTGTTTAGAACAGAAATATTCCTAGACATTTTGGTTTTAACATGTGCTATGTGTGATTTCCATGTCAGGTTTTCATCCAGCGTCACACCTAAGAATCGAAATTCAGAAACCCTTTCAATAAAAACTCCATCAATGGACAGTGAAATGTTTTCATCTTTTTTTCTATTAGCAAAAACCATAAACTTTGTTTTATTCAAATTTAGGGTTAACTTATTTTCATCAAACCATCTTTTAAGTTTGACCATTTCATGTCCAATACACATTGCTAACATGTTTGAATCATCTCCTGAACAAAATAAATTTGTGTCGTCTGCAAACAACACAAATTGCAATAATCTTGACGTTTCACATGTCATTGATGTACAAAATAAAAAGTTTAGGCCCTATATCAGATTTGATCAAGAAGCAGATGTATTTTTATTGCAAGTCATTGCTGCTGTCACACCTATTAGCATACAAATGGTTTTTAGGCCTTTGGAGACCTCAACGTTATTGCAAGCGTAATTGAATCTGATCTCTGTTCTGTGATTGAGAGGTTCCAACACACACGCGTTGTAGCACTCAGTGGGTGGTGAGCAATTTGTGCCAATGCAATCGCGTACCTACACACTTACACACAAGGGGGTTTTCTCTGTTCTGCTCATTGTCTCATTCTCAAGTACAAAGCAAGAGGAAAAGAAGGAAAATAGAAAAGAATATAGGGAATATGATAATGTCCCCCATCAACACAACACATCAATCTCCTGTACACTGCTTCTAACACAGTTTGGATTCAAATTAAAACATAAACTATGAAAATGTACTTGCTATTAAGTGGTATATCGCTTTTTTATCTAATCCTAAAAAACATATTACACAGCGGAATCAGACGGAAAACATTTAAATAGTCAACGTTTTAACCAAACTGCTGGATGCAAATGAAAAGGGAAATGAACAAAAAATATGAGGTACTGCTCACTGTTGCATTTGTATTCTGTTCATTACCAAGAACGATATAACAGGGTCATAATAAGGTGGCAGCTTTATAGTTCTACCATTCAATTTTAAGTGACACGTCCTCATGACTTTAGTACATCAAATTAGAATTATCGCTGGAAATAGACTGACTTTCCAAATCCACATGGGGTTGCTATTTGGTAGAATCACATCTTTCTCTGCAGATATGTCACAATGAGTCTCCAAGCTCAGATCTCTGACATGCTTTGGCTGTTGGTTCACCACTTACAGTACAGTCTGTAGGTCAAGATACATTCTTCAGCAGTTGTGGATCCCCTTCTTGTATGTCAAATATGCTATTTCTAATACTTGTTTGTGACCATGTATCGTCAGACAAATGGCATTAACATTTAACTCAGACAAACTTTTTGTTTAGTGCTAATAAGCAAATGTTTGCATGCTCATTTGCACCACTCTCATGTTGTCTGTTAAATGTAAAGCCATAGCCAGAAGCTGGTTAGCTTCGCACAACAGGTCGAAAGAAAGGAAGAAAATATGCATCCTGGTCTCAAACGTAACACAAATGAACACTACTTCTAGCTCTTTGAATCTGGGGGACTACATCTGAGTGTTGTAAAAATAAATGAGGGTGGTTACGTGCAGAACTAAACTATTCACTTAAGGTAAGTTCACAGAAGTTCATTTTTATTTTTTTATACAACCTAAATTGAGATGTTTCCCTTTTCCCCCCAAAAGGAAAATGTATAAGTACAAGAGATAGGTACCAACAGGATAATTCATGCAATGTATTATTCTCTTACACAAAGAAGCTGTGCTCTCAGCCTTTTTTGTAGTATACCCAGACTTTGAGGGGGCTTATAGAGCAACACAGGCCCAGCGAACTCCTGATCCGAAAGAGGTGACCACCCCCAACAGCCCAAACAGAGACCTCACAGGGATGATCCCATGTCTCACAGATGCCCCCAGTCCCGGAAACAGCCGCATCCTCAAACAACCTGACGCTGCAGCTTCATGGTAAATGCACAAACATTGAGAAAAATGTATCGTCATCTCGCTTTCAGCAAGAAGAGGATAAGCACATTTTCCCAAATGTCATCTAATGAAATCATTTTTTGGGGCTACTGAACTGTCACTTGAGAAAATAGCTATCTACGTAGCTTTTCCGCTTTCGAGAAAAATGAAACAAGATATAAAGTAGAGTATATCAGGTAGATCTCCTCTTAAATCCTTGAGGGGGATCTTACCGGCCCTTTGCACATAAGGACACTTCAATATGTCACCCTAACCAGTTCACTGTTAGTCCTCATACACTCAAATGTAAATTGTGCATTTCAGCATCAACACAGATGGATGAGGCTCCTCACCAAGGCTGTCAGTCTCAGTCAGGAGGGGGCATTCAATCACTACATCCAAGGCGGCACTCTACATGAAAGAGCCAGACACATACACAGCATTCCCACATCACTGCAGTCATGCATCTGTCTGCAAGGCTCTTGCAAGTTTCACATATTCCTATGTGTATGTGAGTAAGTGAGTAAAGCCAGCAGCAAACAATAATCTATGCAGCATTAGAGTTATTAACAAAAATTAACGACCTCAAAATGTATTCAGAAGTATAATAAATCTTCATTTGGATGCTTAGTAGCTTGGCCGTCTGACTCGCTGGCTGGCTGGGGAAACTATGCTGACCTGGGTGCATCCAAATTAGATATTGGCATGGTTGCATGTATTACACAGTGGGAAGGCTGCTCTGGCTCAGTCACCCCGCTGCTAAATCTGGCCCGTGCTCAGCTAAGCAAACACAATGCAACAGCAGGGAAACAGCATCTCCACGGTCTCAATAAGCTGCAAATAATAGCAAGAAAAAAAAAAAACCCACAGCTGTTTTTTTAAATGTTTTTTTCACTTGAATCCAAATGTTGTTTGTATCCTCACACTGTCATCGCATTGGTTTTGAAGTGAGTCACCCAAAAACTCTACTGAAAGTGCAAAAATAAATGTCTGACTGTAAAGTGGGGGACTGTCACACTTACACATGGATGGACCACTTTAAAGAGCTTGAATTAAAATCCAGTGACATAATAAACAAAGTGCATCTGAGCCTTTTCGTGGAAAAGCTGAGGAACATCCATCTATTTAAATCAGTCACCAGCGGCACCCCCTTGTAAATGAGGGATGAAAGGGAGAAGAGATGGAAAGAATGCCAGAGAGCAGCAGAGGGGGGGGTAGAGAGTAAGGAGAGGTAGACGGGTGGATTGGGGTGGGTGAGACAGAAAGAGGAGAGACAAAGAGAGAGGGAGGAGGTGGCCATGATATCCCTGCCTCTTTGATCAGTGGTCCATGGGGAACGGAGACTGTGCAGATAGCTGGTCCACAACTCCTGAGGAACGCAGCTTCACATTCCTCCTTGCGCTTTCCGTGCTTTTGCAAAATCACTCCTAGTCTTTCAGACCACAGCAGCTGTGAAAACACATCATGGCTTACTACATGCCAGAGGAGACCTGGCTAATGCACTGTAGTGCTATTGTCCAGCTGGTCCTCTTTCACTGGTGCTATTCATCTCAGGGCAAACTATAGTCTTACCTAGTGTTTTTTCTTATATTCTACTCATATTTATATTAAGGTCAGAGGTCCTTCAGCAGAGCAGTACTGGTATGACTCAGTGATCCAGTTATTTGTGCATGCTGAAGAAGAACCAAGATTATCAAAAGACCGTATCAGAAGGCATCAGAATTCAACATTAACACTGGTTTATGCATCAAAATATTTTTTTAATACATTTATCTGAAACCTAAATCTCTTCACAGCACAATCTCAGTCCAACAGCCCTTTGCATGGATAGTTTATTTACTGACAGTGCATCAAAGGACAGTGCTGAAACTGGTTAATGAGATGAACAACAAACAATAAAGAACACAAATTGGAATACAGTAATGTGATTCGCTTATCAAAGGGGTTTCGTCCTGCATCATTATGTACAGCACTTTTCAAGGGAGACCTGCTAAATGTAATGCATTGCATTACATCTCGTAATGTAATGCAATGACATAGTAAAAACCCTACTAAACAGCAATTCAATGGGATTTAAGGTGATATTATTGCTGCCTATGTGTTTTACTGTACTGTAGTAGTTTTTGATACTTTAAAAAAGTAAAAAGCCTATGGATTGCCAAATAAATCTGCAATCAAGAATACTTCAGTTTTTACGACCTGATATAGTTAAGTAGGCAAATCGCAGACCTCAGTATATCTCCCTAAAGTCAATGAGTGCAGGGACTGTTCCTCCTCGCTTCCCTCTGGATATGAATGGGTACACTGGATGCCCCTCCCTTCTCGGATGTGACGCTAGCCAATAGCAACGCACCCTGCGCGGTGAAGGAAGGAACGTCACATCATCAGCAGCAGTCGTTCGGCTGGGACTGCTGGGCTTGCAGTCTCCACAGCACTGCTTGTTTTTGTGTGTGTGAGCCACCACTTAAATACTACACACGACTGGAGAACGAATAGGTAAAGGAGCCCGTTGGCTTTGTAGGAAGAGCGAAGTTGTGGACGAATGAAGAGACATTGTTTTTGGACAAAGAAAACAGACTGCCTGGCTTCCAACCAGCGATAAAGCTACTTTGATGCAGCCGCTTAGCTAACAAGCTAACTGGGAATGTTTTCAGAGACTAGCCAGTCGGCTAGCCCGCTAGCTAGCTAATTCGGATGGAGAAAGTCGCTGTATAGTGTATACATTAAGCCAACAGTAACAATGAACATTTTATCTTTCGGTACATTTAGTGAAAGAACTGTGGCAACGTCTCATACTGAGTATGTTGAATATTTAGGGCTCCAGTGCTTTGTTGCTAATATCTAGTAGGGACAATAGTTTACAGACCAGGCAACAAGTCTGGCACACACTACCGCTTTAACGTTACTCTACTTTGTACCCATTTTGTGCAATGGTGTTATTAGTTACCTTGTTGTTATTAGTTAGCAAAGCATCATACGTATAGTGGGAATAAGCGTTTTGAGGAAAGTATAGGTAAAGATATACAAAGGAAAGTGGGGTGCTACTTTAACATTAGATCCCCATGTTTAGGGGGATCTGGTCACTGATGTCATTTATTGGCGAGGAGGCGAGTTGGATGAACATTTTAAATCGCCCACATGCTTTGGATCAGTTCCTGGACTTGTGAAAGGCATCTGAAGCAGGAGGTGGGTGACTTGAGCACAAGAAGATGGCGGAGCGTTCCTGCAGAAGGTGGTGAAACCAAAACTTGGGGGCTTCTTGGATTTATTGCCAGACATCTTATCCCAGATCGTAGGACACATGCAGGCCAAAAAACGGTACTTAACTCTGTTCTCCGCCGGTGCGTGTCTCATCCTGTTGTTTTGTTTTGGAGGGATACAACTCCCCCTCTCCAGACGGGGTCCCAGCCGGCGTGATGACCGCAGCCTCACCGGTTATCACCCCGGGGAGCGGTGGCGTCGCTTCCCGGGGTCCCTGCAGCCTTTCAGCCCCTGGGAGGAGGACCGGGGCGATAGTCACAATGAACACATATCTCCTAGGCAGAAGAGAGACGCTAACTCAGGCGTTGACTCTGGAAAACGCTGCAGAATGGACTCCTGCTTTGATTTCTCTCTTTGTGAGAGGAATGGATTTAAAGTGTACGTCTACCCCCAGCAGAAAGGGGAGAAGATGTCAGAGAGCTATCAGAACATTTTATCCTCTATTGAAGGATCTATGTACTATACACCTGACCCAGGACAGGCATGCCTGTTTGTCCTGAGTTTAGACACTCTGGACCGGGACCAGCTTTCACCCCAGTATGTGCACAACTTGAAAGTAAAAATCCAAAGCCTTCATCTGTGGAATGGAGGCAAAAACCACATCATCTTCAATTTATATTCTGGCACCTGGCCAGACTACACAGAAGACCTTGGCTTTGACATCGGCCTCGCCATGTTGGCTAAGGCCAGCATCAGCACCGAGAACTTTAGACCCAACTTTGACGTTTCTATCCCTCTTTTCTCCAAAGACCACCCTAGGACAGGAGGGGAAAGGGGCTACCTGAAACATAACACCATTCCCCCTTATAGGAAGTACATGCTTGTTTTTAAGGGGAAGAGGTACCTAACAGGAATAGGTTCAGACACTAGAAACGCTTTATATCATGTTCATAACTCTGAGGACGTGGTCCTCCTCACCACCTGTAAGCACGGGAAGGACTGGCAGAAGCATAAAGATGCACGCTGTGATAAAGACAATGCAGATTATGACAAGTAAGTACTTTCTTTTTAACTAACTTTAAGTGTATAATTACTTTTCTATTCACAACATTCGGTTTTTGTATGGGTTTGGTTTTTTACTTGCACTCTGCCTTTTATCGTGTTCAAGTGGTTTCTCTGTATTTGACATGATGTGTTACTGCTCTGCTTCACACCCATCTCAGATAAGGTAAGTGTTGGTGTCATGAAAGTTGACAGAACATAATTTCCCTTGGTTTGAAGCTTAATTGACCACAGTGGGCTCTTTGACCATTTGATACTACAGATAACCCTCAGAGTAGTAGTATATTTAAATGGCTTTAGGTCTTTGTTCCCACAACATCACATTTATCAAAATGGTTTATATTTTGTTATTGTTTCCATGGTGTTGATTTTTTCCCTCTATTTGATAACTCAATGTAGATGTCTGAGTGGTCCTTTACTACACGTAGATACACTTTGTTATATTCCATGGAATGCTCTCAACATCCCGATAGTCATGTGTGTGTCCGTGTGTGTTGGAGGAGGGGCTCTGTGAGGAAGTGGCAGATTTTTTTCGGCTGTGTATTTTCAAATTCTAGCTCACTCGAGCCGGTTTCTCCAAAATGACCTACCCCACCTTTAATGTGTCATAATACTTTCATGGGATGAAGGAATTTAATTGTGATATTTCTAAATCCATCTTGGTCTAAATACTGTATTAAGTCCCAGTTTTCCCTGATTTAATTTAATAATGAATGAACTGATTCACTCAGTTACAGTTATCACAATGCAGCAATCAAAAGGTTCTAGTGGACAATGGTGATTTGTCACTTCAAGTAGATTTCACATCACATGTCTTTATTTACCAAATATCACATCACGAGTTACAGATAAGTAGATTTGCCTAAATGTCAGCCACAAGAGACAGTGCATTAATGTAATTCAATTGATATTGCCATCTGTTTAAACAGCCTGGTATTCAGCATTGGGTGAATCTGCTTCTCTCGGCATTTCCCCCTTTCTGCCTCTCAGTGTGTTATGAGTCCTGATCTTCTCTGACAGAAATGGTCAATGCAAAAAACGTACACACTCAGCTGTCAGTTATCACGGTGCCTTATTACAAGCACATCGTTGTTTTAATAAGCAAGTAAATAAGTTAATTTGCTTAAACTCTATTGATCTCGAACGTTATATTTCTCAGTAATAATGTCCCAGAACTTCCTGCAGAAGGCAATATTGCACAGCTCCATGGCCCGCAAAAGTTGCTCAGTGATCATCACCACCCAGTCCTTCCACTAAGCCATGCTGTTCTCTGTGCCCAAATCCGATGAGCAAACTGGTGTCTGTCTCCCTGCTCTGGCCAGTGGGATTCATTTCGTGTCCCCCCAGACCGTGCTGTGTTGTTACTGGTGACTGTATGGCGCTGTGTATTTGACTGTGGCTCTTTGGAGTGGATTAGTTGGGACAAAGCACTGGTGCCAGTTAGGGGAAGCCACTCTGGCCCCTGTTTGCTCAGTCATTTCCCAGACTAACCCAACTGCATCAGCCAGGAATGCCCCGGCCCCAACCTGTGTCCTCCTGCGTGACCCCCACCCCGCCCCCATGTGGTTTGGGTCTGTTGTGAATAACCCAACTTAGTAGGTCAATTCTGCTTTGTGTGTTGACGTGAAAAGTGAACGCACAGTGTGTGTCTCTGTTTAACTTTTTTCCTTTGAAATGCATAATCCAAGCGTGTATTAATTATTAATAAACGCTCTGTGGCGCTCCGTCAGTTATTGTCTTAGTTCTCAGTCCAAATGTCTAAATCTGTGTGAAAAACATGTTTAACAACATTCAAGCCAATATTTCTTGCCTCATTTTTGGCCACACATCAAAGGCGCTCAACTGTAGGCACAAAACAAAATGTTTTATTGGATTAGAATTGCAGACTTCACCTATTTTTTTAAATAAGCCTATGTGTTAATATTAAACATTTAAATGTTATTGACAGTTAATAACATATATACTTTTACAACCCTGTCTGTCAAAATGACAGACAACAAGATGGTGCACAACCACTGTTATGGTTTTGTTAGTTTTGGCAACTGACCATTCCAATGTGTGTTCAGTTCAGGGGTCTGCTAAGAAACCTGGCTGCAGCATGGATTACAGCGGGAAGGAGGTGCTTTCTTTGTAATATTGTGATGTGATAAAGATGTGTTTGCTTAGCATTGATCCTCAGAGGATTCTCATCTCTGTGTCTGCCTATGCAGCTAGGTATCAGTTTAGAAGGTTCCTCTTTTGGCTCAGCAGAATAACATTCTCAATATCACTCTTAAGACATGAGCTAGCTGCTCTCTCTTTCTGCCAGCTCACTGCCAGGGAGTGATTTCACACAGTGAGATGGGTGGCATTGAAGCCATAACCCAGAGGGAAAATTAATCCAGCTGTCATTAAGTAGCATTGGGAGAGAATTTGGCTCTTGAGTATCTCTGTAGGCCTTGCCGGCTTAACTTCATTGCATGTCTACAGTGTGTTTAGTGGTTGTCAGTCAGTACATCCTGAGTAAGTCACACCACTATCAGTCAACAGGCTTTGGCTTCATCCCCAGTCCAGTGCTGAATTCCTGTTAAATTAATGTAATTTGTTGATCCTTACATTACCTTCTATGTGTACTGGTAGAGACCCCATATTCGACAAAGTCTCTTTATACAGGTAACGTGTTTAGTTGTGCTTTTCTGTGTGTGGGTCAGACAGTATAGTCTGTGGTCTAACTGGGGGGAAGTAATAGTTTCTGCCTGGCTGTGGCCCTTTGTGCAACAAATCCCTCTTATCCTCTCCCACTGACAACAAGGACGTTTTGACAGACTGAATGCAGCCCCTCACCGTAATTACCATGTCATGGCCGTGTAATCTTTGTGTTATGGTTCAGACTGTATCCGCCAGATGTTCATGTGGAATGTATATGGGTTTTGGATGTGCTACGTAATGTTTGGCCTGTTGGAAGGAAAAAATCATTACATTTGGACACTGTATTTAATGCTATGATGCACTGTGTGATTGTATTGTTTTGGTTACCATTTCAGCCAGTGTATAATACAAATCTTCAATTTTGAGATTTTTGGTGGTATTTTAAGCACTTCAATTTAGGCTTGTTACTTATGTGTGCTTGTGGTTCATTTAGTTTTTCTTAGTGGTGCTTTAAATGTGCTTATTACCATTAGGTCTCTTCAGTAAAGAAAACATGTTTAAGGATCGCTGTGCTCCTTCCCTGCTGGGATATTACATACATGTCACAGACTCCCACACATAACTGTACATATGAAGAGAAGAGAACATGTGTATTGTTGTATCATGGTTTATAAAAAGATCACACGTTGGTAAAAGGTTGTATGAAGCATCAATGTCTACAAGCTACCTCCTTGTTCATAGCATATCGTACTGGAAATTGATTATAGAGGCATGTTGTTAGAGGGTTAAAAATGTCAAGTATAAAATTCACATATTTGGGTTTCAAGTAAACTCCAGCAGTCTCCCTTTTACCTGTCGTTTACCTGCTGCTTCCAGGCCGTGGCTACTAGAGTCAACCTTTGTCTTCCCTCTTCACCACACTCTGTCCTTCAGACATCTGCACTCAGCCACTGTGTACAAGCCTGTAATGCAGCCAAAGGAGAGAAGAAAAGATGCAGCAGGAGGCAGGTCAGATGCAATTTTAAACTCAAACTGAAAGCCCTCGCACAGCTTGTTTCCAATTAAGAGACCCTGCCAAGCGAGAGAGTACGAGAGGGATAGAATGGGCGATGAGGGGAGCGGGAGAGACATGGGAGATTGGGAGACAAACTGAGAGTGAGTTGGAGGGAAACATGGGAACACAAAGGGAGAGCAGTGAGAGTCTGAGAAAGTAAAAGCAAGAGAGGCTGAAAAAAAGGAAACCGCATGCCAGCCATCCAGCAGTGAGAGGTGAGTGCAATAGCTGGCTGGGAGCTAACATCGGGCTGGTAGGTGTATTTATAGACTTGCAGGGTTTTAATCCTCAGTATTGGCCAAAGCCCCTGGCAGAGGGCTGCTAGCCAACTTGATGCAGGCTTTTACAGAGCTTGGGGGGAAAAGATAATCATGCAGGGAGAATCTAAGAGTTCCTGCACATGATCGCTCAATGCTTTTATTTGAGTTTATATTGTGTTTTTATATTCCCTTTTTTGCCGTTCTTTTTTGTTCAGATTGCTTATTCCTGGATAAAACTTGCACACGCCACAAAGTTCTTCGCATGTTTGATAGAAAGTGGGATGAGTGATGTATTTCAGAAAATGTTTCGGAAATGAAAGCGTCTCAATAGCCCAGCATTTTGTAGCCGCCACAAGTCTGTCTAAGTAGTTGCATTGGAGTTTTTAGCCCTTTGTCATTAACATACAGAAGCCAGGAAAGTGAGGCCAAACTCAATCAAATGGTGAAATTCAAATGTACTTGCTCTAGACAACCTACTGCTTACAGTACACATTGCCTGAAGTTGATGCAATGTTTGGCCACAGTCACATAACGTCAGCCCCTTTGGTGCCCAGCTGCCACAGGCAACCGTTAGCTTGCTGTGTCACTGCCTTATAGCCGCCAAACGGCAAGATCTGAAGTCTTATGGGAGATATACGTGAATCCCTAAGTTGTGGTATTTAAATAATTGCTTAGGTTTATTGTTTATATATTCAGTTTTCCTGATTGGTTTACAATACATTATCTATAGTTGTCTGCGAGTAAACCAGAACGGAGCATTTGTGTAATGAAGGTAGGCCAGAGATGCAGTATTCCCATGGTGATAGTGTGTTTTCTTGGGATGGAAATGTAATTTGGAAAAACTGGGACGTCATTAGTCTTATGCTGTTGCCATCTGTTATAACATTGTTTACAGTTTGTTTTGCACTGCAGTCTGTGTTTCTATCGTGCAATGGGTTTGGTTGACTTCAGTTCATGAAAAATCCCCTCCTCGGGAAGGCTCCTCCAGTTGCTTTCCTTTCCAGCTCAGCTCTGCCGGTAAACCATCGGCTGTTGGCCCTGCCGGAGAG